CGGCGGCGGCGGCGGCGGCGGCGGCGGCGGCGGCGGCGGGGGTGGTGGGGGTGGGGGGGGGGGTTCTGATCTTGCAATTCAGAGTTATATAACCGCATGCTTGCCCATGCAATGTTCAGCGCCTAACGCCCACTTACTTCAAAGCCACGCCAGTTGTTTCTCTCAGAAGGAGAAACCTAGCTTCGTAAACGTCAATTTCTCACTATATAGCTGCGAAGATATATTACCATCCCAGTACAGTATACTCCATTAATATGTATCGCATAATATAACACGAATTATGCACCTTTCAACGTTACCAACACACACCAAACTCATTATCATTCAATTGCTTTTGTAGTAATTTCCTTATTCCTCCAACCGTTTACCATTCTTATTCCCGCAAAATTCAATTTTACAAATATCCATTCACACTTTCATGGACACGTTGCTGCGTAAAACAAAGATACGGGACAGCGATCTTTCCACGTCGGGGACAGCAAGGACTTACGAAGCAGCTCGTATCCGAGGCTACAGTAGCGCTTTTAACGCTGTTCAGTTGCAGGTTGCGCGCATGCGTGCCAAGCATGGCTGGCTGATAGGATCTGCTCTCTAGTCGTTAACGTTGCAGAGCGTTTTTTTCCCATTGTGAACTTTTCATCGCCATTCATTAACATTTAATCGCAGGAAAATGAAACCGGTATTCCTTCGCGAAACCCTCTATTGTACATAGCAAGCTTATGATGAGGTAGTTGTCACAAGTAATTCATATTTACGCCGTCGTCGCGCAGACAGTACCGCCGAGCGCACAGAATATATACATACACTGGTCAATAGCACAGGTGATCAAACACGGTTGACACAATCACGAGTGATATGGCTGTACCACGTTAGAACACACTCAGAACAGTTATTCGTTTCAACTGAAAACACGCGTACGTATGAGGATGACTTGGGATAGGGCAAGCAATTCGATTCCAGATACGTCAGCTTGCTTATAGTTTCCCCCCTCATTCTATCTTATTTACTGACTTGCTTGTTTATTTACTTTCCTTTTTACTACTTGCTCGCTCGCCCCCTTTTTCCCTCCCCTCCCCATCCATCTCGCCCTCCTAGCCTCCCAACATACTTACCACATCTTATCTCCACCCGTCAATGTGTTTGCTGTGCCACAAAATAAAGATCCCACAAAACAAACCCTATATTTTTATGCCAACATGAATTTTCATTCAGCAGTGACCTAATAACATTTAGGTGCGGTGATGGTGGTGGTGGGGGTCCATTACTACTCACCGGGGCTGCAAGGGCGAACTTTAGTAAATATACGCTAGGCACCAACATCAGCGCAGCTGCGCAAGTGAATTTCACGTAAAAGGCACGGGGAAAAGAACGAGTGTATTCTAATTAAAAACCGAAGCAGCGAATAAGACGTGAGGTAAAAAAAGGCTAGAGAAACAATCAGGATGTATCAGCTGACGGCAAACATTTCACTGGATTATGCGGAAGATCTAACAAAAGAAATTCGCCAAAAGTGGGTTACAATTATTGACTGTCGCCCGGTCGGGTTTCCTCCGCGTATTCGTATGCGAGCCACGCGAGACGGCGCCAGACCACGCCTCCACTAATCTGCAGAATTTCCCTTTCAGCAGGCTTCAACTGAATGCCGAGCCACTTTCACGGCCTTGTAGTTGACTGCACCATCAGGAGGAGTCCGAGGCCAGGAATAAACAAAGCAGGGTTTCTGCGGTCACGGGTCCTGAACAGACGCAGAACCTTGCACGAGGAAGTTAGGTTAGCAGGAAGCGTTAGATGGGCGCGCTACGTAAGAGCTGCGACGTAAGACTCCAGATGTTCATCTTCCCGTTTTACCTATTAATAAACCGGCGCCGTCTTACCCCCCTAAACTACCATGCATGACGGCTGCTGCTATGCCTAAGTTTCTGAAGGTCGACATATGTCATTTCGTTTGGTACTACTTCTTCTGGCAGCAATACAGCGATCAGTTCGTCATAATCTTAACGTTCACGCACATGCCATTAGATCGGTTCTAGAGGTGCACGAGGCCGATTGCACAAGATGCCTCAACAACTTACCGAGCCAGTCTACACAACTATCAACAAACTTAGTTGAAAAGCTGGTTAGCAAAAACCTTACTATGCTAAAAATATGTAAATTGTGGCTTACACTTCCCAAGGTGCAAGCGTTTGCATAATTGATATAAACTTACAATTTTCATACTTCGCATTTCACGCAAGCAAAAAGTTCTGGGTAAAACCATCTGCTTGCCACTGACGCACGTCTAAACTAAACATCAACATGTACTACTGGCACCACCGTCTCAACATGAAGCCTCCTACGTCATTCTCCTTTATTCACCAAGATGGTAGGCATTGATACGCCGATACCCACAAGCACCTCGAATCTAACAAGTTGCCCATACCAAACTCACACAAGAGTCAGTGATAGCCGATAGCCAACACATAGCTCTGTCACCGATTCGAATAGTAACCAATAGACCCGCCACCTCGCCCATGTGTCACCAGATCCCGTAGTCCCCTCGCCCCCCAGAGAGCCCCTGCAATGAAGACACTCACGCGCGCAACGATGACGACGCCTCACCTTTAGATCCTTGAAGAAGTAGGAGCGCCGCGCCCACTCGACGAGCGAGAAAAGGCTGTGGTCGAGCACTTTGCACATCAGTTCGAACAGGTCCACCTCGCACTGGTTGTATGTCTGCGAGTTGATGAGCGAGAAGAGCGACTCCTGCCAGGTCTTGTCGTCGATCGTGCTCGCCGACAGCTCGCGGATCACCTGCGGCACCTTCTGCGGTGCGTTGTTCAACACCTTGGTGACGGTCGGATAGTACTGCCACAGCTTGCTCTCGCGCGCCGCCCCGCTGCCAGCAGACGCGCCTCCTCCGCCGCCACCACCACCGGCGCCCTCCTCCTTGATGTTGTTGTTGTGCGCGTCATCGAGCGCGGACGAGTCCGGCGAGTTCGTTGACGAGCTCAGCTGCGGTATCTGAATGTCCGACTTGCTGTCCTGCTGGAAGGACGGGAACGCGGCGAGCGACTTGACGACGCCGTTCAGCTGGCAGGTGGCGCCCATCTGTGCAGCAACAGCCATGCGCCGCGCCTGCAGCTTCAGCGCCCGCTCGCGCTTGTACATCGGGCCGAACTTGTTTCGGCCTCCGCGCATGCGGTCGGGACGAACGGCTGCAACGAGAAAGACATAATCACTGCACGGGTCAACGAGAAAGACATTGTCACTGTGCGGGTCAACGAGAAAGACATTGTCACTGTGCGGGTCAACGAGAAAGACATTGTCACTGTGCGGGTCAACGAGAAAGACATTGTCACTGCACGGGTTGACGAAAAAGACATTGTCACTGCGCGGGTCGACGAGAAAGACATTGTCACTGCGTGGGTCAACGAGAAAGACATTGTCACTGTGCGGGTCAACAAGAGAGACAGTGTCACTGCGCGGGTTGACGAGAAAGACAGTGTCACTGTGCGAGTCGACGAGAAAGACATTGTCACTGCGTGGGTCAATGAGATGGTTAGGGTTAGGGTCAACATGCCTCCTGCGCTGACCAAGAGTATCAACACGTGATGATTTCTGTGACATGGGGTATGCAACGAACACCAACAGGTGACATTGGACAAACAAAACACACCAACAGGTGACAATGTCTGCAACATAGGGTATGTAAGTTGTAACAAATACCAGTACTTAGGTAACAAAATTTGCAACATCAAACATGCAACAAATACCACCAGATAGCGTCTGCAACATGGAGCATGCAACAAACACCAACTGGCAACAATGTCTGCGACATGGGACATGCAACAAACACCAACAAGTGACAACATCTGTGACTGTAACATTCAACAAACACCAAGAAGTGACAACATCTGTGACTGGAGCATTCAACAAACACCAACAAGTGACAATGTCTTCCACATGACACATGCAACAAACACCAACACTTGTTAACAACAATAGGAACGACAACCTAAAGACATTTCTACAACAGCAAATTGGTGGTGGCTAAAGACCAGGAAGCACTGGTTAATAAGGAGATGTTGTAAATATTTGACTTCATTCGTGGTAAATGGGGAGGAGCCGAGGTTCTGATGCTGTTTATTAGGGGTTACTATTGATTGCAATTTTACTATTCCAATGGTATTGCGATCTAGATACAACAATATTTCCGATTCATTGCAGCAATTGAAAAACTATTGCGATACTATTGATGTATTATGATATTGTGTGTTATATTGTGTATTATTGCATCGAGCCTCGTTTTAAATTTACATTATTTACTAGCTGGGTACTCAGTCGTTCCACTCACACACTCGTGCATAGAGCTAGAGAATTTGAGTTAGTTCAGCGGACAATCATGAATAAATGACCGGGGACCAGTCTAATTATTCACAAATGACGGAGGTATCTGTAATGGTCTCGGGCATATTTATGTGCAAAAACACAAATGCGTAAATAAACTAATGTAGTTTGATGATGATGCTGATGATGATGATGATTATGTTGATGATGGTAGGTATAGTAATAATGACAGCACCATGATGGGAGGTAATGATGACAATGAAATGACACTGCTGCAAGGTTGGCGAGAAGCTATTATGATAATGATGTGTAATATGGCAGGCGGTGATATAATACGCTGCAGAAACCCAACAAACATGAATAACTAAAGTCCGTAGCAATAAAGTCCGTACAAAATAATGTGCTAAACAACTATGATGAGCAATGATGGGCGTTAAAGGCGTTTCAAACCGTACGACAGCTATATAAACGGCCATACACGGGAAACGTGTTTGGGTAAAAACTAATAGCTGTCACTTCGCTACATACACGCTATGACTGACGTGGTTCCGAGATGATACACGAATAGCAGTCAGAATATCATAAGGACGTTTTTAGCACATTTTGGGCAGAGATATGCAACAACAGCAGCTATTCACGTACAAGCGCGCGCGCGGATGCTTTCTCGCGTGAATATTTTTCAGCCTCCAGCTACGGATGAAACACCCATCCTGCTGGTTCCAGCCGACACATGCAGGTAAACGGTGTCTAGACCGGCCCGTGTTCGTTCCGTGGCAACACACACAGACGACTCACTCGGCGGTCGGCGCCAGTCTACGAGTGGTGAAAGGGAATGTGCAGTCTGTCTGCTGCGATTCGCGCAGAACATGTGACCTAGTTCGAAACCCGTCTGTCAGGTTGTGTGTTTTAGGAAAGCTTCGGCGGACGGCGATGTACAGCAACTGCGTATAGCGCGGGGAGGATAGCTCACAGGCCGCCTAGCGCACAGCCCAAGACGTCTGTTTTTACTTACAGGCACAGCGAGCTGCTACTGCTGCTGCTGCCGACGATATTTTCGCAACCTGTTAATTCGGACTGCAACGCGGCCAACGAATATGGGTTGTCTGCACCCTGCCAGTTCGGGCGTCCCTCGGCGATCTGGTTCGCAATTATGGAACCAGGCCATGGATTGGCCTTAATAATGATCTAAGCTCGCTTATCATACAAGTTCAGGATACAACAGACACATCCTCTGATCAGGCGGCCTATCCCGCTAATTGGCACATCTCCCGCAAATGGGACATGACAAAATGGACCAGGCGGTCTGAGAAAACATCTTCCCGAAAGAAGGAAAGCAGCACAGGGTCCTAAATTCTATATATACAAAAACTGCCAAAAGGCGCTTGTAAATGGTATGGTCAACACGAAAGCCTCATTTCCAGTCGGGGATTTTATCATAGGGCCATAAGCGTTGAAGTGCTACGTATGTACGCACACACGCACGGGCGCACGCACGAACGCGCACACATCAGCAAGCCAGCGTCAAAGATAGCAGCGTCGGTCAACGGAAAACAGCTCTGCTAACAAACATCCTGCATCCAAAATAGTATTCTTTGTGAAGCTTTTTGTTCGCCTGCCTGCGTTCCGCGAGTACAGCGCAGCGGTGTGCTTCTCATGCGATGCTCACGCAGTCGCTGGCTTCCGAACTTGCACCGAACCAGCGCGCCGACGAAGCAAAAAATCCGAAATCCCGGATGTAAATAGCCGGGAAAATAACGAGCTGCTGTTTTGATCCCATGACTGCCGCGATTCGACACTAAAAATGTCTGATGCTGTGTCACCGCACTCTCAGAGCTCTATATCTGCTCTCGTATCGGCCACGAACAAGCGAACATTCCCCGGGGAGTTGTCCGGAGAAGTCGTCCGATATAAAGGAGGGACAGTTAAAAAGGCAATTTATGTGAAATGAAACAAGTTCGAGCGCGAGTGCCAAGTCCGAAAAAAAAAAACGTTTGTGAATCTCGACCAACGAGAGGACTACAGATAAACATCGCAGAACGAATCTGCTGCGGAGATGTGCAGCACGAGAATTCCGTTTACTAAACCGCGACATATACACACACATAGAAACCGAGATGCGGGCGCTATTCACAGAGCTCTCCCGCCATCAGTGAATCTAGCGCAAAGCTCTGTGATCGCGATCGCGTAGAGGGAAACATGCGACCGTACGGACCAGCGGGAGCGGGGCAGTGGGAGGGAAGGCTGACGGCTGAAGCAGAGCGGTGGAAGGCGGGGAAAGGGAGGGGGAGGCAAGAGGGGAGGCTGAAGGCGGGGAAAGGGAGGGGGAGGCAGGAGGGGAGGCGTGGAAGGCGGAAGCGAGGGCGGTGGAAGGCGGGGGAGGCGGGAGGCAGGAGGGGAGGCTGAAGGCGGAAGCAGGACGGCGGGGGGAGGGGAATGGGGAGGCGGGAGGCAGGAGGGAAGGCTGAAGGCTGAAGCAGGACGGTGGGGGAAGGGGGAGGTGGGAGGCAGGAGGGAAGGCTGAAGGCAGAAGCAGGGCGGTGGAAGGCAGGAGGGGAGGCTGAAGGCTGAAGCAGGACGGCGGGGGAGGGGGAGGTAGGAG